GTGGATGAGTTCATATCTCACTGACAGAAATCAGTTTGTTGAAATTCAACATGTGGATCAAAAGACCTCTAAATTAAAGACATTTACTTCATCACTCAAGGCTATANAAATGATGCTCGAGATGGTTCAAGTTCGTATAGCAACAGGCGTGACCAGAGTGGTTTGAACGGCTGTTGTACTGCGATGTGGAAAGCAAATGGAAAAACTACCACATTATCACTTTTCCTGGACAGTCTCTTTCCAAAAACAGAAGATCACATTAAGTGGAGGAACTGTTTTGGAAGAGACTGTGGACCTGTCATCTGACAGTTACTGATCAATCAATCAAGACTAAAGTATTATTCTTTCAGGGGAGAAGACCTACTCCAATTTTTTAGACCTGTTTTTTCCTTAAATAATAAGGAAATAATTTACTCACTGAATGTAAAATTTTTGCGTATTTCTATTACTGAAAATCTAAGCTGGGCAACTCACACTCATTACGTCTGCCAAAAGCTCAACAAGGCTCTTTATTTGATTAAATCCTTATGTGACTCAGTTAGCCAACCTGTATTAAGAAATGCGTATTTACTAAGTTTGAATCTGTTTTGAAATGTGGTATTATTTTTTGGGGTGGGGGGCTTATGACTCTGAAACTGTATTTAAAATACAGAAAAAATGTCTAAGAGTGATTAAAGGTGTTAATAATAGATTATCCTATAGAAATATGTTTGGTGAATTTACGATTTTAACTGTTACCTCATTATATATATTTGATTTTTTATAATAAAGAATAAGATATATACAACTCAGTATTCTGACATCAACAGCTACAATACCATACATAAACATAATTTGTATGTCCAATTTTGTAATACCGATCATTGTAGAAAAGGTGTAATTAATATGGGAACTAAAATATTTAACTACCTTCCCTTGAAATGAAAATCATTAAAAATTTTAATGTTTTTAAGAGGAAACCAAAGAAATTATTTGTTGTGCAGCGCTTTCTATTCTCTTCATGAAATTTTCAACTAATGTTGGATTGATGACTAGCTTGTTGACTGTCTTTTGGTTTGCAAATTTTAATATTGGGTTTACATGTTTTATATTACTGACATTTTTCTTTTGATCTTCTGTATCTTTTATTGTTATGTTCCTTATAACGGCTGCTATATTATAGTGATAAATCACTGTGTAAATTTTATGTGACTTTGACATGTGATATATTCGTTATTATCCCTTGACATGTCCAATTGTATTCGCTACAGTTATGGTTGAAAATAAAGTTGAAAGTTGAATGAGGCTGGAACATGTCAGACCAGAACCAGATTAGAATTCTGATTATTTATGAAATTCTAACTTGATACGTTTTTATTCTAATTTTTAAAACTGACTAATAAATGACATCTAAAAATTATAGATGTTTTGATTATTACATATTTTTCATTTTTACTATCACCTTATTTTATTAAGAGTTCCTTTCACATATTCAACATAGAAGGTGAGGTATAGTACAAGACAGGTGGAGGGGTGCCAAAGGCACCTCACAATTTATCAAGATATAAGTACCACCACCTCAGTTCTTATATAAAAAGCATGGGTTACATATTTAATAAATAACAGAATGAATACCTACAAAACTGGTTCAGGTTCAGTTCACAGTAATGCACTTCCCAAATTCAATATGAAAGTCACAACTGCCTCATACACCTTCCTACTGCAATAATTAAACACAGGAACAGCTTTACTCTTTACCTTTTACATCAACCACATCACTTCCACATAGTTTTCCCACAATGCAACAACTGCCACGTGATAAGAAAAAAATCAGCTGTCAGAGTATAAATATTATTCCAACAGGAGAACTTGTGAAATGTTAAATATATGTATGTATGTATCAGCACTCAGATAACAGCATACATTAATAATACTCTGATCAGCTACTTATGCCTCTCCTGCTTGAAGCATGTTTACATAAGTATATTTTCTGCGCATCCCAGTCTGTGGTTCACAAAAAACGTTAACAAGATGATTTAGGGAATTAAAATTTGTAATAAAACATTTTAAGGCAAATTAAAAAATAACAAGGGTATCAATGGTGATGGTATGTTTCAGACTAGTTTACAAAACTTATTCTTTTTGACATCTTCCTAGTGCACAGCTGTGATGCACAATGGCATCAGACTTCTGGAACAGTATTACATTATACTCATTAAGGAAACCAAACGCGATCCTTATTTTCTAACTCAAACGCTCGAATTTATTCTTGGTATCATGCTTAACCACTGAATTCCTTACCTTTCCACTTGATATTATTTGTCCAAGGCTGCATGTTGCTACGCCCAAAAAATCGTGCTCTTCCAGACTTTGGTTAGGTGAATCTATATCGTAAACTTCAAACTTCAGGGACTGCCGTTCTTCAAATCGGTATGATATCTGCACTTTCGATGCAAAATCTGGATCGTGGGTGTTATGAATAACTTCTGTACGATGAAATTCCACCCATGACGACTCACCAAAAGGCTGGATATATGTAACACACATTGGATCCGATTTGGACAGTAAGTCTTTGCACTGTAGTCCCCTGGGTATGAAGGGAAAGTTAAAGAAGAAAACATTTCGTTATCTCATTTCATTCAAAATTGAGTGGCAAGAGACTATGTCTCCCGCATGTTTGAAACAATTGCTTATTTATTAATCCCACCTGCATGACAATGTAAGTTCTACTTCACTAGTAGGTTCAGCAGCAGTACCAGGTCTGAAGGTCGACGTCATATTCATTTACGGTAAAAATGTCTACAACTACACTACCTTATTTACTAACATTTCACCATAATTAATTACGCCGCCATATTTAATTACAGAGCTTATGTTTGTGTTCGGTGTCAGGAACTTTAAGATCCTCTGATTGGCTCACACTTGTGCGATTCGATTGAATGCGATAGGTGTATAATGATCGATTTCAGTCGTTTCCAGACTACCTAGTTCAAGTAAATGAATATAGATGGCTGTTCTGCATGTTTCCCTCTCTCCTAAGGGAGTTTCACCCCCCTGCTCCAATAGGGGAGAGGGAAACATTAAGACCAGCCATCTAAGAACATTTACATGAACTAGGTAGTCTGGTA